CAAGGCTAGCGCTCTACCACTTGAGCCACAGCGCCACTTCCGGCTTTTTTCTTTTTGCTTATGTGGTGCTGAGGAATCGAACCCAGGGCCTCAGGCATACAAGGCAAGCACTCTACCACTGAGCCACCTATCCAGCCCTCTTTTTTTCTTTTTAAAGAAGAGCAAATGTTGATATCTGCATGTGTTGTTTTCCCTTTGAATAATACCAGAGGAGCCAGTGGCATCAACTGACTTAGTGTGATCCACAATCTCCAAATCTTAAAACCAGGATGGTTTTCCCCAGTCACAGGTGAGATATGGTAGGTGTCATTAGATGCTGGCTTTGCTAGGTGCTTTAGACATTTCTAACTTTGTTTCTGTGACTCCCTTGCCCAGAGCTAGGGATGAACTCTGCCCAGGTGAACCATCAGGACCACTAGGAGCCCTTGGTGTAATTTGTCTTTACATGCTGAAAGTACAATTTTATGTCTTCAAATTGGTTTGTGGAGCAGGGTACTGGTGGCTCACACCTGTAATCCTAGCTACTCAGGATGCTGAGATCTGAGGATCATGGTTCAAAGCCAGCCTGGACAGAAAAGTCCATGAGACTCTTATCTCCAATAAACCACTCAGAAAACCAAAAGTGGCACTGTGGCTCAAGTGGTAGAGCACTTTCCTCAAGCTGAAGAGCTGAGGGATAGCACCCAGGCCCAGAGTTCAAGCCCTATGGCAGACAATAAAATATTGTTTTATGGCTTTGTAAAATGGATGTTTATGTTAAGTCTCAATTCTTTTTTTTTTTTTTTGGTCATTGGGACCTGGGGGGCTGTCCCTGAACTCTTTTACTCAAGGCTAGTGCTCTACCGCATTGAGCCACAACTCCACTTTTGGTTTTCTGGTGGTTAATTGGAGATAAGAATCTCATGGACTTCCCTGCCTGGGATGGCTTTGAACCTGAGTAGCTAGGATTACAGGCATGAGCCACTAACACCTAGCTTTCCAATTCTTTAGTAACCCAGCCACACTTGGAAGGCTCAGTTCTGAAGACCTCCTTTAAACTGCCTCACAGTGGCCCTCCCTCTTCACTCCCCAGGGAACACCTGTGCTGAAGTCCAGGTGAGCATCCTGGTTCTGCGAAACAGACATGGCTTGTCCCTGGAAGTTTCTGTTCAAGGCCAAGTCCTCCCTGTGGAACTTGACTGAGGAAAAGGACTTTAACAACAATTTGAAGAAAGTCACAGGTACCACCTGCAGGTAAGTGTTCCCTGCTGCTACCTGTCTCCCTGTAGAATCTGTGCCCCCTGACTGAGAAGTCCTCCCTGCTCCCAGCCTCCCAGTTGTGTTGAGGTGTTACGTGATTGTCCCCGCTGGAACTCCAGGTGGACACTCGTGTGCCAGGACACAGTGCTGGCCTGAGGGAGCCTGGATTTTCTACAGGAAGAATATGGATACATATGGAAGAATAGAGGCTCTGATGGTGGATAGTTGAATAATATTCATAGGCCTTGTGCTGCACCATCCCACCTGGCCCTGGGCCATGTCTCAGTTGTGTATGACTTAGGCCAAGTCAACTTCTCTAAGCCTTAGATGTATGTAGAGTCTAACGGTGGAGGGCCCACCTCAACATGTTGAGGGTGGTAGAATAAGGCAGTGTGCTGGGTGATTATGGCTCCCACCTGTAATCCTACCTACTTTTATTTCTAATCAACCAGCAAAAAGCTGGAAGTGGAGCTGTGGCTCAAGTGGTAGAATGTTAGCCTTGAGCAAAAATGCTCAGAGACGGTGCCTAGGTTCTGAGTTCAAGTACCAATACTAGCCTTGGAAAACATGTGTGTGCAACATAAAGCTTTCTGAGTGTATCATATGGAGAGCTGCTGGACACTCAGTAGGGTCTGTCACCATGGCTATGGCTGCATGACATGCATGCTTTGTGTCTCCACAGACCATCGCAATTATACAAAATCCACCAGCTCTCCTTTTCCAGGGCCTCTATGGGAGCCTTGCAAGGAGAATGACTGGGCCACGTGACTGCTCCTTACAGACCTGAAATTATGACACTTAGTTTGTGTTTTTCTGTGTTCCATATACTGGCCGTGGAAACAAACAGGGGAGAGCTAGCAGCCGGCCCATCAGCTGGCAGGGGGTAGGTTTCTGTGGGGTGCTAGAGTTCACAGCGCAGCCTGGGGCTTGAGGCTTGCTCTAGTAGAAAGACACAGAATCCAATCAAAGCCCCAATCTGCACAGGACTGCCCAGTGCTGCCACCAGGCACTGCCTTGTCAAGAGGAGCCCCTTTCTGGGATTACAATAGATCAGGCATCCCTGGATGTGCAAAACATAGCAACCCAGACAGAGTCTGTCTACCTGCACCCAGACAGCAGAAAAGCAGCCTGGTTTGCAAAGTGGGCTTGAGAAGAAGGAAACAGCTTGGCTGCTTCATAGCCCTGTAGCCTTTGGCAAGGCCCCTGGCCTCTGAGCCTCTACTGTGTCCCCTATGGGAAGAGACTTGGGAGGTTTTGGGGCTGGGAAGGAGGCTCAGTGGTAGAGCGCTTGCCTTGCATGCACGAGGCCCTGGGTTCGATTCCCCAGCACCACATAAGCAAAAGGAAAAAAAAGCCGGAAGTGGCACTGTGGCTCAAGTGGTAGAGCGCTAGCTTTGAGCTGAAGAGCTGAGGGACAGCGACCAGGCCCAGAGTTCAAGCCCCACAACTGGACCCCCCCCAAAAAAAAGGAGACTTGGGAGGTTTCCATAACCAGGCATGGAGCTCCCAAAGCAGTCTCTCTCTCCTGTTGGTTATGTGCTTGTTGTTGAAGTGAGGCTGGGGGTGCACAGCTGCCAGCAGAGTCCCCTCCAAGGGCCTTTGTGGAAGGCAGGTGAGGACTCTGAGAGGTAGGTGGGCTGTGAAGTAGGCATAGCAGAGGGAAGGAATATAGACTCAAGGGCAGAAGCCAGCCTATGCTCAGCAGGGGAGGACTCAGCTAGGAAAGACAGCATCAGGGCCTTGGCACTTGAATGGGGTGTGGGGTGAATTTAGAGAAAAAGTGATTTATTTATTTGTGTTAGTATTGGGGCTTGAATTCAGAGATGTACTCTTTCCTTTAGCATTGTTTTTGTTTTTGTGTGCATTTCAGTACTGGGACTTGAACTCAGGGCCTAGGTGTTGCTCCTTAGCTTTTTTTTTGTTTTTGGTCAGTCATGGGGGCTGAACTCTGGGCCTGGGCACTGTCCCTCAGCTCTTCAGCTCAAGGCTAGCGCTCTACCACTTGAGCCACAGCGCCACTTCTGGCTTTTTTCTGCTTATGTGGTGCTGAGGAATTGAACCCAGGGCCTCATGCATGCAAGGCAAGCGCTCTACCACTGAGCCACCTTCCCAGCCCACTCCTTAGCCTTTTTGCTCAAGGACAGCACTCTACCATTTGAACTATGGCTCTACTTCTGGCTTTTTGGTGCAAAGTCCTCCTAAGAGACTCTTATCTCATGAACTTTCCTGCCCAAGCTGGCTTGGAACTGTGATCCTCAGATCTCAGCCTCTTGAATTGCTAGAATTATAAGCATGAACCGCCAGTGCCTGGCTCTCTTAGCTTTGTTTTTGTTTTTGCATGCTCACACACACATACACACACAAGGCTCACTTCCCAATGACTCATATCCAGACATAGAGAATCACCAGTCATAGAACATAGGCTCTTAGTCATATTTAGACCAACATAAATTGAAAAATTATGCTTTAAAATAATAATGAATCCATTGGCTCCCCTTCCTTTCAGATTAAAATCCCCCTCTTAAACTGCTTCCTCTTCTAGTAACATCCTTCCTGCCTCCCTCATAGGTGGTGGCAGTCTAGCTAAGCCACCTCCTCCAGAAAGCTCTCCTTCACACATCTTCCCCCTCCCCCATTTCTATAGCCACATGAGGTACCTCTTAGGTCTCCCCAGAAGAGGTGGTTTTGCAATGGTGGCCACACAACCACCTTTACTTGTAGCTTCGGGCCCACCACAACCTTACCCCACTCCTCATGTAAGAAAACTATCATCTCGTACTTCATTCTCCTTTAGGCCTATAACTGTTAATGGTGTGGGACCCATTCAAGATCCAAATCTCTACAGTTCGGTGTTGTGGTTAAAAGATCGATCCCTTAAGCTGGGTGCCAGTGGCTTATGCCTGTAATCCTAGCTTGAGTAGCTAGGAGGCTAAGATCTGAGGATCATGGTTCAAAGCCAGCCTGGGCAGGAAAGTCCATGAGATTCTTAGCTCCAATTAACCACCAGAAAACTGGAAGTGGTGCTATGGCTCAAGTGGTAGAGTGCTAGCTTTGAGCTGAAGAGCTGAAGGACAGCACCCAAGCCCAGAGTTCAAGCCCCATGACCAAGGAGGGAAAAAAAAAAAAGACCAATCACTTATACATCCTGAGCCTTGGTGTCTTCATCTCCAAAATGTGAGGGGACCAAATTGTGCCTTCCTCCTGGATTATTGGAAAGGTTCAATGAATTCACAGTGGTATTTTCTTTCTACCATCTAACGTTTCATGTAAGTCTCCAAGTTAGCTGGTGTGCTGAATGTCCACTGCGGCCCAGGGTTCAGCCTCGGATCTGAGCTCAGCTTTCCTATATGGTTCAAAGATACATGAAGGTTGTTAGGAATAAGTAAGTGGCACAGTGACTGGAAAGTGCAGGACTAAGGGCCGAAGACTGAGGGCATGTCATGAGAGATCTGAAAGAGAAGGCTTGCGGATGGAAAAGATGGGGTGAACCAAAGGAGCTTGCTCAGGTAATGCCTGTGGTCATGCGCAGGTTCTGAGAAGCTGAGGGAAGCCACCAGGGAAGGTGGCACATGCCCTCTGTTTAGGTTGGCGATCCTTGGTGTAGTGATACGCAATGGGCAGCTACTGTAGACTCTAGAGCAGGAGCATGACTTGATAGAAGCCTAGCTGGGGCCTTGGTGGGGGGCAGGAGGGGACTCTCTGGAGTGAGGGAGGCTGGCTTGTAGAAACCATCATGAGGACATAGAAAGCAGGGATGGAGCCGCCAGGGGTCTGCAACGTTTTGAGACCAGAAGTCCTAGCAAGACATCTCAGCCAGGCGCTGGTGGCTCACGCCTGCAATCCTAGCTGATCTGAGGGTCAGGGTTCAAAGCCCCAGGCAGGAAAGGCTGCAAGACTCTTCTCTCCAATTAAGCAGGAAATGGAGCTGTGACTCAAGTGGTAGAACACTATCCTTGAGCAAAAAAGCTCAGGGACAGCACCCAGGTCCTAAGTTCAAGCACCACAACCCACCAAAAAAAAAAAAAGTATTAGCAAGACATATAGATGCTCCCCCATCTAGATGGGCCACTTGAAGCTCACAGCCTTGATGGCTCTTTTTTTTGTTTTTGTTTTTTTAAAGTGTTTGCCTCCAGAAGTGGAGGTGTAACTCAAGTGCAAGCCAGCTGTGAGCAGAAAAAGACCACCAAGGTGTAAGGCCCAGAGTTCAAGCTCCAGTATTGGCACACAGTAAGACACACAGACACAGACTCAGAAACAGACAGAGACACATACACACACCCAAGAATGCCTCTCCTTTTAGCCCAGCACTGGTGGCTCTCGCCTGTAATCTTAGCAACACACGCATGCGTGTTTTACAGAGGTAAGAAGGTAAATGTAGGAACATCTAGGTAAATAAAATGGAATGCAAAACAAAGTTGAGCTAAGGGGTTGCTATCTGGGTTGAAGGTCCCTCAGAACAAATGCTTCACTCCTTGCTCTGGGTTGGGTTTGGGACTTAAAGTACTGAAATAGACCAGGAAGATCCCCTAAGGGCTGCGACCCCTACCCCACCTGGATCCTATCAGCCAGGGAGTTAGGAGAATGTAAGAAGCATTTCACAGAGGTCAGTGGGGACCCTACCGCGCCTTCCAGGTAGCAAAGATCAGGATCCTACAGGGAATGTGGACCAATGGAACTCACCCCGCAGGAATGCACCCCTGGCCTTGAACCTATTGGGTTTTCTTTAGGGAATCACCCTGGGTATGGAGGGCGGGGAGAAGGAGCAAGGGAGAGGGAGAGAGGCAGAGGGGCAGAGAGAGAGGCGCAGAGTCCGGGCTGGGCAGCAGCCTTGGGGCTGCTGTGTCTGTCACCTTGGGTGAGACCCATCATGTCTCTGGATTTCCAGCTTCCTCCCGGATCAAATGTGTGTGTGTGTGTGTGTGTGTGTGTGTGTGTGTGTGTGTGTGTGTGTGTGTGTGTGTGTGTTGGGTGTGTGTGTGTGGGTGGGGGGGGGGGAGAGGAACCGTACCCCACTGCCTGCTGGACTCCATTTAGTAACGGAAGAGGAAGGAACGGACAGGAGCGCGTCCAGGGCGCACCGTCCAAGCCCAGCGCCGGGCTGTTTTGTTTTGTTCTGTGGTCTTTAATGAAGATCCATGTTAATGCCCCGCGGGAGTAAACAACGCCGGGGCTCCGCGTCGCTCCCGCTCTAGCTCTGGGCCTGGCGGATCCGCGAGCGCCCGGTGCGCCCGTCCAGGTCGTGGCGCGGGGCGGCGCGGGGATCACCGGAGGAAAGGCTGCAGCACGAGCGTGTGCATTTCAGTACTGGGACTTGAACTCAGGGCC